CGGACGGCCCAGCAGCTGGGAAACTCGATACCAAAGATTAAGTGTGGACTAAGTGAAAGTGACAACGGCTTCGTTGTTTTTGTTATGGTGCCGATGGGTTAGCTACGGTACTTGGAGCTTGGGGTGCTTGGGTCCGGCTGGAGGTAGTCGAATTGACCGTCTTTAGTGTCCCAGCCAACAATTTGCGCCGAGCACATGCACACACATACATGAGAAAAGGTATCAGACGACGGTACGGACATGCAAAGGGCATTCGGAGGTGATGGTCTTTGAACTGAGCGCCGCGGCGCTGTCCGTTCCTCTAGAAATGCATCCTTGGCCACAGACTAATGACTACAGTGAGAGACTGAGAAACTGAGAGCTGGGACTCGACTCGACTCGAGCTCGGCCGAGGGAGTGAATGAAAATCGAACAATGTAACGGCAGCAGTGTCCCGAACCAAGACATTCCCTAGGGTAATTATGCCAGGTTCCATGTTCTCTCATCTCAATATTGTCAGGTCTCGTATTCCACAGTCGACGCTGGGTGCACATGGAGCCGAGAGCGAATCAGCAGGCTGCGTATGTCAGGGCAAACATATTAGTACACCAAAAGTGATTAAACTGCTGATCCCTGTGAAGCGCCGGGTGGCTGACTGAGTGCCCTTTCAAGTTTCTCATAGATTTGTATCTCTCCCTGACATTGATTCCGAATAATAACCTTACAGAAAGAAACAAGTCCACAGTTACACTCTGATGCATGGTTTACTGCCCCTTAGGTACCTGACTTGCTGGTAGGTACTTGTGTCAAAAGATGAAGGTGGCCAGTTTCTATGTCTAATTGTTGTGCAACGTACCGGTACGAACCTACTTTGATGCATGAACTGCTAAAGAGCTTGCTGTAATTAAGGTCCCAGAAACGTCAAACATGATCAGCCACGCTGTCAATCTAACATAAGGTAACAGAATCAACAGCCTGGACAGCTGTGGAGTGACATGAAATGTTGCAATCTCCTAATGACAACCCCTGCTCCAAATGTTTTTTTTTTTTTTGGGAGGGACGGATAAGTCACTGAGATGGAGATGTATTTTAAGGGTCCTGGGCTGAGTGCCTGAAGCAGGGGCCCTTTTTACTGGGTCAGCACTCAGCTCCAGACTCCCGTCCAGTGTAACCCAACTCGCCAAACAAAACAAAACCAAGCCGACCGCGGCTGTGAGAATCCCTGCAGGGGAACACTCCAGTCTCCAGCGTGCATGCCCTCCCGCTATTGCCCTGCCTTAGCACACCACTCACGCTGCAGCTAGTGGTCCAAGGTCGCACTTCCCCGAGACCGGCACTCGGCGGGGGGAACTTCGGGAGACGGACGGTTTGTTCCTTCCTGACCTGAATTCTAGGTACCTTGGGTCCCCAGGGCAGGTCCCAATCCACCCTGGTCGTCTCCTTCCGAGTCCCGTCGGTGCCATCCAGCGCCAAGCCCGGCGACCTTAACTTCAAATGTGGGGGAAAGAAGTAATCGCGGATCCCCGTTTCGTCAATGACAGGCCCCTGCCATTGAATCTCTCCTTCGGACCTTTGCTGCCGCACACTTGCATCCTCGACCTTCACCACATCTTCAGCAGATGACAACTGGCACAGCACACTGCCTCGGCCGTTTCAGCATTTCGGTGCATCCATGACACGCCCGCGAACCCGACTTTTCAACCTTGCTGTCCATATCCGGACAATCGGGATCCCCCAAGCTCCACGCGGAGGAAGCTTCACGCGAACAGCTCCGGGGCTGACGGCCGCCGTGACGTCAATTCTTGCCTTGTCCGTCCTCGTGGGCTACCCTGCAACCAATATCTGCATATTGAACCCACAAGCAACCAAAGGTAGCACAGCATTGGCCGGTGCCTGTAGCCGTGGTCGTTATCGTCTCTGAAAGCTGTTTCCCGGACCTGATCCGACTGTTCTCCTGGCCAATGGCATAGACCAATTGCCTACGGACGGGCCAAGGAAGGGAAACTGAATGAGAAGACAGCAAGAGCCACGGAATTGGCTGCTTCTAGCCGTCACTCTATCAATGGATAGCACGCAGGTTGACAAACCGTCAGCAATCATGAGACATGTGGTGCTTGCTATTGGTTGTATGTCGCTCGCTTATCGTCTTTCTGCTGACTCCTCCAGATCAATGCATCATACATAGGAAATATGTGGGTGTTCGCGAACATTGTCATATTCTCATTCGTCATAACGTATGAACAGCTATCTAGTTATCGTTGAGCTCCAAACATCTACAGCATCTGCGCGAATTGCGGCGATACTGAGAATTGGCAATTGATAAACTTGATCGTGTCGTTGCACCAGTTGGCCTCCTTTGTTCCGGTGCCGACCATTCTTGCCTTGTCCGAGGCCTTGGCCCCCTTCTTGAGCGTGCCCTGCAATGTGCTCTCGAAGTCGCCCTTCACAATCGTCAGGTCACCCTCCAGCTCTGCCAACACTTCGCCGCTTTCGCTTCGGAGCTCGAACTTGCTGATGCCGTGGTTGATCTCCAACGGGCTGGGGTTGTACACCTTCATCGTGTTGACGAAACCACCGCCACGCTCCGCAGAATTGACCTGCGCGATCTTGGGGCCGCCCATGCCAACGATGGGCACGTCCTTTGCGTATTTGACCTTGGCCGACAGGCCGAGCGCCTTGATTGTGCAGTCGCCGTTGTCGAGTCGCAACACCAAGCTCTCGTCGCACATTATGGCTTTGACGAACGCCATGAAGGCAGTGCGGTCGAGGATCTTGATGAGCTGGTCCTTGACGACGACCTCCGTACCTCCGGACTTGGTCTTGACTTCGGGAAGATCCAGCTTGCCAAAGCAGCCGCCGTTAAACATCATGTCAACGGTCATCGGTGCCATTGTCGCGCCCATGGGTCCGGTGCCCGTGACCCTGCTCACGATTCCCATGACAAAGGTGCTGTAATTCGCACAGCAGTCAGATTGTGCCACAGAAAGCCGCCAAATGCATGCGCAGGAATGACTTACTCAGCTGTGGGCTGCGAGATCTTGATGTGTTCCACCTCCAGCTTGGAGCGGTTGAGAATGGCCTGGGTAATGGCGTCCATTTTGGCTAGTGTGCTGATTTGTGGAAGCGCTAGAGGAGTGGTGACGTTCAATAAGCTGAATTGGGATTTGTTGTAAGTGAGACTTGATTATGACAGTTGAAGTTGATTGATGAATTGGTACGGAAAGCAAGGCGAGGAACATTGGGTTTTATACACGCTTGCCATCTCGTCCAATATCCTGGTCATCACAACCCAGATACGGCCTCACTGTCGTCAGAACGAACACATGCAGCTTGAGCTGCCATGCCATGTGCTACTGAGCTGCCACAATCTCACTTTTTGCCTCGGAACCTGAGTCTCGTCTCCAACAGAACCCACCGCCACAACACAGTTCGCATAGCTCTTCGCATAGCTTGCTACCCTGCCACACCCCGTCCAAAACTTGACAAGGCCTCAGGGGGTTTAGAACGGGCAGTCCATCAGACGAAGAATGGTTGCTATTCGGTGAGCCCAACACTTCGGATAACACCCCTGCGCGTATGACAGATCGATCAACCAACCGATCCTCTGCCTGGAGTCTTGCCCCCCTCTCAAAACGGCAATGCCCTGTGCGGTGAAACACCAATGGAGAGCGAGGGTTTCCATCACGGCTCAGAAGCAGGAGCCAGCTCACGCACACAACGCAACGCACCCGCACCCGCATTCGCACAGCTCTTTTCGACGGCGGATCCCGCAATGCGAGTGAATGCTTCTTCGTTGGTTTCCATTTCGCTTGGACGTCCCGTTTCGGGAAGCATTGAGCGCTTACCTGCCCTTCTCTCCCCCCACCTTCAACTCAAAAAACCAGTGGAAGAGAGTCCGGGGACGAAACCCGCGCCGGCCGGCGGCAACAAGAGTCTCAGTCTCAGCCTCAGCCTCAGCTCTCTCTCTCTCTCTCTCGCATACTTGACTTTATTCTTTCCCGACCCGCATGTGTCAGCGGCGCAACATCTGCCAGCCAGGTCCCTTTTTGTTACGTTCCAGAAAGTACTCGAACTTAAGTGGGTAAAAGAGGCGATGTGAACACTGCCCACCTCGCTGATACCTCCCCGAGGGCTGACTCGAAATGTTTACGTTGAGGAAAAGAGTCAGCCAAGAGGGTTAAAACACGTTTTGCAGATTAATGCTTGAAGCTGCTAATGCGGGGAGTGGGTAAAGCATCAATCTCGGTACGCAACGTTGGGGAAGAAGGAGAAGTTGTGAAGTTTGGCATGTGCTCTAGTCTTTTCACCGAGGGACGTTGGTGTGGAGGTGAACGAGAAGAAGGTGCGGGATGTTAACTGATTGGCGATGCTTTTCCCGGCAGTCGTAAACTCAACCCTCTAGTTAGTAGGGATGAGGTTGCATCGCGAGGGCGGGGGCGGTGGATGAATTTGCCCAGCTAAGGTGAAGGAAGTAAGTGTGAAGGGGTTACGAATGAGAAGGAAGGGAATAGGCTTCGGTCCCATGTGCGCCAGATGGATGATGCGGAGTAAACACTGCGTAATGCTGTTCCCCCTTTGCCTTTATCCACGACTTTCTTTGGTAGATCGTTTTGGGTAAAGTAGGTCTAGCTGGGGAAATCGAGATGGTAGGAAGTTTTGGGACTACGTAAACCAAACATTCCAGGTCAAAGACACGCAAATACGTTTCCGGACTCGTAGTGGACTCGGATCTGAAATCGAATGGGAGAAACTCGTGGAGATTCATCGCTCTTTTATTATCGAGCAGGAAAACTGGGTAAAGGGAAAAGACCAACAGAACAAAAACAAGCCTCTCTCTGTCCCTTCACCTCATCGAGGGGACCCTTTTTGTTTTTCTTTCTCGGATTCACTCCCCTCACAAAACTCCACAATCGCCAAGCCCGCCCTACGCTAATCTCAACCAAATCCTCAACCGCCGGATCCCAAAATCGTCGTCAAGTCATCAACCGTTCAAACAACACCTCTTCTGCGCCGCCGACCACTTTTTTTTTTTTTTTTTTTTCAATTTCACTATGCGCCAACCGCCGTCCCGCCCTACAGCCGTCCCACCAGCTTCTGACTCCGATCCGATGCTTGTCTAAGTAACGAAATGAGATGAGCCAAGCAGAGACTTTTTTGTTTTTTGAACAACGGTCAAAGCAACTTCATACTCGGGAGAGAGTGACGAGAGGGAAGAAAGAAACCAGTCTGTTCTGTCATGCTTGCATTGCGGCACAGAGAGCCCTTACACTCCAGTAGCATCATCGAAAACAATGGCCGCCTTGATGGCGCTCTTGTTCTTGATGGACTCGAGAGCTTCGCCAAACTGCTCGAGCTTGAACGTCTTGTTGACGATACCCTTGGTCTTGACTTTGCCCGAGTCAAGGTAGTCAATGGTGGCGGCTGCGCGACTGTTAGAATGTCTGGGCCAATGTGCCTATGCAAGTTGCAGGCACACAGAGTTTGAAGATCGATACGTACGGAACATGTAGGTCTCGGAGAAGGAGCCAAGGATCGTGATCTCGTCACCGAAAATCTTGGAGGGAGGCCATGATACACGGGCAGAGCTGCTGTAGACACTGTTGTTTGACACATCAGCAACCATGTATGCTGAAACGATGATTCGCAGCCTTACCCGTAGACGACGAGCTTGCCACCGCGGCGGACGTAGTTGATGGCATCCTCGAGAATCTTGACGGAACCAGTAGCCTCAACGACGACGTCAAAGCCGTATGGGTGGTCCTTCTGGAGCTGGGTGAACTGAACCTGGGGGTCGGAGCGGGACAGTTCAATGTAGTTGTCGGCAGCGTCCAAGCTGCGAGCGAGGTCCATCTTCAAACCTTGAGGGGCCGCGATGGTGACATTGCAACCACCGTTGTGGCGCATGAGTTGAGCGAGCATCTATATTACAGTACATCGATCAGTCATTGGTGCACGGAGTGCAGGGTGCACTCTCCCGGCCGAAGTGGACTCACGAGACCGGTGGGGCCGGCGCCGAACATGAGGACGCTTGATCCGAGACGAGGCCGGATCTTGTCCAGACCGTGGCAGGCACAGGAGGCGGGCTCGAGAAGGGTGGCATCGACATCGTTAAGGTTGTGGATCTTGAAGACCTTGCCGGCAGGGTACGCGCAGTACTCGGCGAAACCACCGTTCATGGTGACACCGTGAGCCTCGAACTGCAAAGAAAGTGTTACTTTAATATCTGTCCGTATAAGTGGTAAAGCGGGGTCCAACATACGTGCTCGCAGAGTAAAAGCTCTCCACGTCGACAGTAGAAGCACTCATTGCAGAGTTCGCTGTTGTCGGCAGCGACACGGTCGCCGACCTTGAAATCCTTGACTTTCTGCGTATTCATGTCAGCAGCCATTTCGTCAGACGTTGTGGACAATAGCTTTGCTTACAGGTCCGACAGCGGCAACAACACCAACGGTCTCATGGCCAGGAATCAATGGGAATTTTGCAATGAACTCTCCCTCGTGAATATGCTGTACATAACGTCAGTTATATCGCTCGTGGCATGACTGGAGGCCGTGAGGTTTGGGAAGTTTTACCAAGTCTGTGGCGTCCGTGTCAGTCGTACAGATCAATGCAAAAGATCACTCTCGACTTGTACAGTGTATGCAGTGGTACAAGAAGGTAACGGTTTACTCACCAGTGCCACAAACACCGCAAGCTCTGACTTTGACCAGAACATCGTTCTCCCGAAGCTCTGGGAGAGGAACTTGGACAATTGACCAATCCTCGGGCTTCTCGTACCTGGATGAGGGGTCAGCTTAGCGCCATTGGAGGGGTAGATGGCCCAGCGACCAAAGTTGCGTGAACTGCCATGCTGACCCGATCATCATTCGTGGTCGCAAGAGGGGAACCATACCGGAGGGCTTTCATCTGCTTGGGAAGGTTCGACATGTTGAAAGACTTTTGACCTGTGTTCTGGGGGTGGTAGGCGTGCTATCGTAGCTTGATACCCAGTTAGCGAATGCCAACAGTATAAGTCAAGCTCAGCCGGTGTGTTAGGGGAAGCAGAACAACCATGGAAGCTAGCAAATTACACGAGGGACTCACTGGAGGACAATTGAAGTGAGGGGAAGCTTGATTTAGTGCTTCTATGTGAAGCTCCCGGAGGTGGGATGGATAGCTTTATATAAGGCCTCCTTCGAGCAACGTGGGGAATGGGCGCATCTTGGGACAGATATGGGACCAGGGTCCAAGGCGTTGTTGGCTGGCGTGTCTGAGGTCAGGGTACTTGCATCTAAATCCTCCCTTGGACTTGCATTGTACGCTCAAATCGGCGAGCTTTGATAGCTACACCGAGTCCATGTACCTCTTCATTCGTGCGGTGCCATCCGGCATGTTGGCGTAGGTAGCTACATCCCGCGTCCGCAGACGCATCCTCGACCATATCGACGCGCCACTCGGCCAACAAATGATGGTACATACACGAGACGGCATGCCATGCCTCTAGAAAGACCCCAGCCTGGTCTGGCCAAACATTGATCGGTGAGGATGTAAAGCACCTGAGAAAGACCGGAGCTGTTGGCAGACCACAGAGCTGAGCAAAGTCTAAACCCCCCTGTCCGTCCAAAAATTGCCCCGCCCCCAGACTTTCAGCGGAGTTATTGCTGCAAACCTGGCGTCATCACGCAGGGCAGGGCTGCCACCAGCAACCAGACTTCAAGCGCGGGAAAGTCGGGGGGTAATGGCTTTGGGGGGCAATCGAAAAGCATGGAGAAGAATCGAAGTGTGAGGGGCAAGGCCATGGCAACGCGTCCGCGATCGAGCTTCCAACAACTGCCAGGCAGTCCAGCTGTCTAGCTCATCCCATTGAACGGGGTTGAGGTACTATCATCGAGCCACTTAAAGAAGCGAGAGCTAGCAAGCTGCAACCAAATTGAAGAGTGGAGAGCGTGCAAGAAGTCCTGGTCTCCAATGATAAGTGTGCGTACCAGACAGTGACAACACCACTTCCCACCATCAACAACACCATCTCTTCTTTTCATTTCCGCCAGGAGGTCCACTTGGACACCGCCGCAGTGCTTATTCTTGCGCATCCGGCACTCTTCCCCTGGCACACTGCCTCAACAAAACACTCATAGAGCCGGGCCAAGGAGAGTGGGAGCGTGGTGACATCCCATGGCACATGACATGAACTTACCGTAGTCTGTCTACTCGTCTCGACCTTGCCCGGCACCCAGGCTCTTGCTGATATCCGCGCCCGCGATTCTCTCTCTCCACGCACTATCCTTGGAGTGGCCCCCTCGCCGGTTGTTCCCCGGTTTGCTGGCCTTGTAGCGCCAGCCCTTGGCGTGGAGACGCTGCCTCCACATGGAGTAGACTTACGTACCGGGTTGGTGCGAAGACAATGGGATGGGCCGTTGGATGCTCTGATATGATTTTGAGTCTCTGCCACCCTGAATTTGGGCTTGGTTTGCTTTTGGTGGCTCACAGCTTAATCGTGTCTCTGATTATTGTTCTGTACCACAAGGTGCTTGGTCATGATGGAATGTCCGTATTTGCTGGCGCGGCAAGAGTAGAATCGAATTTGCTTGCAGCTCCCTAGATTAGCAGGTGGTCTGCCGCTGATGGTGTGGTGAAACTGTGTGTGAACCACGAGGCGGGTTGAGCTGGATGAGGCATCGATTGGGATAGGTGACTTCTATGGCAAGTACTCTTGCCCAGGATCTTCTCTTCCCTTCTCATCCCACGGCTCGGGGGTATCGAGGTAACTGCGTCCGGAAGCTGGCACAGGTGCAGAAAGGAGGCCAGGTACGTAGGAATGAGGGGGAGGGGGATGGACCCTACCCTCTTCGTGAACAAGGTGCAAGCAATGGCACCCAAAGCCACGGCAGGACGTTGAGGAAGGCGTCCTGGTCTCTTCTGAGCCAATGCGGCACATCTCACTTGCTGAGACAAAAACGCACAGCCAGACAGCATTTACAAAAGTGTGGGGAGGGTGCTTGAGTTCCGACCTTACGCGGGGGCACAATTGAGACTCTCGCCCATTCGGCGTCCAGAAACCTGGCAGTCATGAGATTTACGCAGTCACCGCCACTTCCCAATGGCCATACTGACTCGCCTCGGGATTCCTCCAACTGGCCATCCCGTTCAACTTTCGAGGCTATCACGCATAATCGCTAAGGCAAGGGAACATCACGCATTGCTTCTTTGCACAAGAGGGGGGGGGGCGGCGCTACACACAAAACGCACTCATGTCTGGAACCATACGTTATTCGTGCGAAGCCTGCTGAAGCTATCCTACGTGCGTCGGCGCTTACCCCAGGCTCTCAACATTCCTTCATAGACGGACCCCTTTCTCGTCCATCCTCGACTTGAGAAATGCTTTGCGCATGTTCTCATTTCTTTTTTCTCATCTTTGCCTGCCCTCGACATGCAGAAGGGGTCTTGAACGTGGCCTCTCGCAACTTCAGCACCACCCCACGTGCTAGCCGGCAGACACTGCTTGCTCATCACAGCGTGGTAAGAAGGACAAAAGGACGTTTCACAGTTTGGAGGAAACGGCACAAAGCCGCAGGCTGCAATTCATGACCTTTTGATGCAAACGATTTCCGAGGATCTAACCTCCAAACTCCCACGATGTTTCCCCCGTTGTCTGTGACGTTAACAGACGCGCGACTGTTCCGGCCATCCACTTTTTAGAGTACATGTCGGTGCCTTTTTGTTTCTGCCAATGCGTCTCGAGAGTAAAAGCCGATAGGAAAGAATCCTCTTACGAGGGGGGAGCGGCGCCACGGCCACGGCCAAAGCCACCACGGCTATAAAATGTGTTAGCAAAAAAAGACGTTCCGACCCATACCTGCGCCGTATCGACATGGCGCATAGCGTTCGAGGGATTGAGGCTCACAATTGGGGCTCGAATCCACCAGGGGCACCACCCTCCTTGCCGCCCTCGCCAGCATCACGGCGGCGGTAGCCACCCTCACGGTCACCACGGTCACCTCCACGGCCACGGCCGCCGAAGGGTCTTCTCTCGCGCTCGCCCTCGCCGAGCATGCCGCGGGGGGGAGCGTGGGAGCGCTGCTGCTTGATGTGGGTGGCGGGGACAATCTCGGCGGGAAGGTGAAGCCACTCGCGGAGGTAGTCGAGACCCTCGGGGGTCAGGGTGTAGTAGTAGTACTGCCACGAGAACTGGGTCTTGACATAGCCGCGGGAGGTGAGCGACTGGCAGGCCTTGACGACGAACAGGTTCTTGGTGTCGATGTCGGGGTGCTTGGGGAGGTTGAAGTCCTTCTTCGCGACGAGGACACCCTCACGGAAGAGGTACTGTAATTTTCGTCGTCAGCAATCGCTATCCTCCCTATTTTTCAGCACGTCTGAAAATTGTAAATCTAACCTCGTGGATCTTCTTGCGGTCGGCCTTGGGGATCAACATCGTGGCGGTTGTCGTGGTCGCTGCTGGTCGATGAGTGGGATGTCTGATCGAGCGCTGTCGAGAACTAACAAAAAGTTTCGAAATTCGTCGTGGGAAGGTAGAATAGCCTAGTGGGCGTCAACCCTACGCGGAACGGACGAAGTGTGGGGCGCTCTGATGGCACGCAGAGTAGTCACGTGTAGATTACACCTGATGATAAGTGAATGTATCCTCAAGACCCGCCACACTTCCTCAGGGTGCTGCGCCTCACTCAGTAGCTAGGTATCTGCGATAAGCCGGGCTGATTTCACAATCATTCTTTTATCCAAACACTGAACAACTGCCTGCCACTTCGCGTCCTCGTCCCGCCTCGACATCGTCGCCTGTACATCGATTTACTATTGCGTCGGCGCAAATCGAGAAATTAATTACTTCGGCCACGGAACTACAGCATTCTTAACTCGAAAATGGCAGTCAAGAACATCAACGTATTTGTCAGCACGTTTGCTGGATTGGGCCTACCATCGACACTGGTGCTGCCCGTTCCCTCGACGACGACCCTATGCGATTTGCGACATCAGCTCGACGAGCGACTGCCCGCCACAGACAACCGCCTTATCCTGACGACCGTCTCCAACAAAGAGCTGTCAGCTTCGTCTACCAAACCAGTATCATATCTTCTATCATCCATCGACGATGACTTTGTTTCTTTGCGACTTTCAGTACCGCTTTGCGGTGGCAAGGGTGGTTTCGGGTCCCAGCTTCGAGCCGCCGGTGGTCGCATGTCCTCAAAGAAGAAGCGCAACCAGGGAGATGCTAACAACTCAAGCCGAAACCTTGACGGCAGACGTTTGCGGACCGTCACTGAGGCCAAGGCGCTGGCTGAGTACCTCGCCATCAAGCCAGAAATGGAGAAGAAGGAAAAGGAGAAGCGTCGCGAGAGATGGGAGCAGATTGTCGAGCTTGCAGAGAAACGTGAGGACGAGATCAAGAACGGCAGCAAGGGTCGCCTCGACGGAAAGTGGGTTGAGGACAAGGAAGAGTCTAACGAGAGAACCCGCGAAGCGGTACTTGCTGCTATGAAAGCCGGAAAGTACAAGGACAACCTTCTCGGTACGTCGCAAGGATCGACAGGATCAGAGGAGACGGACGAAGAAATGAGTGAGGATGAGCAGGATGAGGAAGGTGGCAGCTCGAAGGAGTCAACACCACCGTCAGAACCGGCAAAGGCACCCAAAGACAAGCCGAAAACGTTCTTTGGATTCGATGAGGACGATGAGTTTATGAGTTCTGATGAAGATGAAGTCAAGAGCAAGAAGAAGTGAGCTGTCGAGTCGCATCGCTTCTCATAATCTCTTCACTTTCTTGCTTCAACTATCTTCATTACACTGCTTGGCCTGCGCAAGGATTGCAGGGACAAATGGGAGCGCACGGAGTTTCTGGTCAGCCGGGTTAAAGGAACGGTATCAAGATTCAAGTTTTTGTACAAGTGATCAAATGGGCGGACACTACAAATAGTTTTCACGAAATCATATTCGGCGCCCTGGAGCGTCATCAGCGTCATCGCACGACACGTCCTCCAATGCTCTATTTGAGGTCTCGATCCATCTTGAAGTAATACATTCGCCCGGCTCCTCCGTCTAACCTGCTCATAACAGAGTCCAAATTCGCTTATGCGTCGAGCTTGACGGGGAAGTTGCCGGCCTCTGCTACGTGTCAGTATGCGTGCTTTTGATATACGGACGGAGTGCTGACCTCTCTGCTCGTCCCAGCGGGTGTACCAGCCAGAGGGGCACAGAGAGCGGTAGCCGAGCCAGAACTGCGACTGGTTAGTTTCTTTCAATTTTTTAACATAACTTGCGGACGGTCCGGACCTGGCGGCAAGGGGCGAAGTCCTCGCCCTTGGCGTTGATGCACTTGTGGTAGTCGACGTAGTTCTGCCAGCAGTGCTTGGTCTGGTTCATGTTCGGGTAGCGGGCATCGGTGCCTATACAAGTCAAGTCAGATTCACGTCGCTCATCATTCCCGCTTTCAATTGAGGTGACGCTATCGCGGGTTTCGGTGGTTCTGGTGGAGGGTTCATACCGGCTATAGTGATCATCAGTTAGCCTCGGAAAAAAGATCAGACCATACTTTGGAGAGGGATATTTCTTCAGCGTACCGGTAACGAACTTGAAGGGCTTGGTAACGAGCTCCTGATCGTCGGACATTTTGGCGGCTTGCGAGTTCAATTGACTGGGAGTCGAATCTGGTGATGGGGTCGAGTGGGCAGCGGCGTGCGATCGGTGTTGATGCTATGAGAGCAATTGAATGGTCGTTTCTGCACCGAGAGTCAGGTGGTGACGGGCGAGAACGGGTGGATGCCTGAAGATGGCCAATCGGGCCTCAGGCATTAGGAAGGTGGGCCGAGCTCCAGTCCAACATCAGACCAGACCGATGGAAGTGCAGTCCAACTTCTAAACACTCATTTTGAGATCCAATCCCGATCAACTACGCTCCCTCCCGCCGTACCGACAGGACCGAAAAATCTCCCCTCTTCAGAAAAAAAATAAAATCGTCAAAATGCGTCCTACTCTCGGTCTCCGCGCTTTCCGCCCGACTCTGCGCATGATGTCCCCCGTTCCCGTACGTTGAAATTTCGCCGGTCCGGATGAGCGCAATCGCTAATTCTTACATCTCCCCTTAGGCCGAGGACCAAGTCGGTACGTCGACACCCGGCCCCAGCCATTGAAAGCTCCCGCGATATCGGATACCGATTTCGACGTCAAACTGTGGTGTTGCGAAATGGCTAGCAGGAGCTGATATTGTTGATTCCAGGCCACACCGTCTCCCAGAGACTGCGCAAGCTCCGCCAGATCCCTCCCGAACTGATCCCCCTCGGTACGTCATTAGACATTCAAGGTTACGTCAAATTGTTGTTGACGACATATAGGTGTCGTCGTTGGCTTCGCTCTGGCCGCTGCCACCTACTCCGTCGGACGTCACTTCATGACCGATAAGACCATCCGTCTCAAGCGCCAGGGCAAGTCTGCCGCCGACGCCGGCCACGGAGAGGAGCACCACTAAGCGAAGGTTATGAGGACGACGGGAGAACGGTTGACCATGGCGCTCGTGTGTTATTAGGGAGGATTAGTTTGTATAAGTCTACGACAAAGACAGATCAAAAGGCACCAGAGACGCTGCTTTCATTTCCTTTCTCATTGTGCTTCTCCGCCTCGAGTATTAGAGAAAAGCTGTGCCCATTTTATATCTCAGTAAAAGCATGTGAACGCCGTCGCTATGTAATTCGAAAGAGGTTTCAGTCGCCTCCGTCCACACCACCTCATCTTCACTCTGGTCGTGGTCCCGCAACATCAAGCCCCTCCAAACCTTGCATGGGGTCATCCCCACGCATCTCAATCTGTGCCGTGCCCTGGTCCGTTGCCAACCCATCCTCTTCGCCAACAGCATGCTCTGCCAGCCATCCCTCCTATGATGGACGTTAGTACGTGATTTGAAGGCTCGATGAGGCAGCAATATGAGCAAGGATAGAGACATAGTCACTAAGTGGCAGAAGTGGGAGTAAGGGAAGAGGAAAACAAGAAGTATTAAGAATCGCGAACATAAGATTATATGAAACATATACTGGGGGAATAACTGACCTGTTCCCAGACAGCCTTCTTGCTGCCCAGGCCTTCGTCTGCGCTCTTGGGAACTTTGGCGGCTGACACCTTGATGACTCGCCCGAAGAATTCTGACTGATCCATGTTGTCTATGGCTTCTTTCGCGTCCTCCGTATCTTCGTACTCAACATAGGCGAAGCCACGATGGGGATCTGTTGAGTTTGGCTTGTCGTTCTTCGGCAGCGATACATCGGCGATTTCTCCAAAGGGGATGAATGCATCGTGAACGTTAGCGGCCGTCACCACTGAGGCCAGTCCACCAACGAAGACGGTCGATTTCCAGCGCGCAGCGTCCGTCATCTTGACACAGAATGTAATTGTTCGGCGCTTGTTGTATTCGTCAACTTACTCGGCAATGCCTTGATAATGAACGCGGCTACCTTAGGTGACAATTGAGTGAATCTTTCTGATAGTAAGTGGAGTTTCTGCGCAAGAGCTGTTGTAAGTCTCTATTGGCTGAAGTGGATTTTAGCTACTTGGAGCTGTGCCGTGGTTCTTTGGGTGTCTTAGCTTTGAGTTACGTAAGCAGCACACAGCGACAGTTGATCGCTTCTTCCCGTCCACTGAGGTACCGTAACTTGAGGTATACCCATCTTCAATACTGTGTTTGGACATAATCTTCTGCCAGATACCCCTGCTTCTACAGGCTTGTTTCTGTCCACCTTTACTTTCACATCTTGATTGAGAATGTATGGGATTTCCAATGGAAGAATATATATCATGAAGGTGGCCGCTTATGTAATGCATTCCCTGTTCTTGCTGCTCTCCGCCTCCAACTCTCCCTGCTGTGATGACGATGCACGTGACGCCACTTTTCCTGCTCGAGCCAGTTGAGAGGTGCACGGTCCAGTGCTAGGGGGGTATGGATGGCTGCGATTTAGGCCTTGGGGAGCTTGGGATGGGGCTGCAATCTGGCATCATATTTCCCTAAGGGCCAGCGTGCACTGTGACACAACCGCTTCAACGACTAATAGCCACCTCTCCCATAAGGCTTGGTTTTACTTTTCTCAACTCCAGAATCTCGGCCCTCCTCGCCAGATCTTCTTGTCACTGTCACGTCAACCAATGCCAATTCGCAGTTAGATTTGTCTTTATTAGACTGGCCGACTTCCCTTATAGCAACGTCTCCCCCCTCCCTCCGAGTGCAGTCCCGGGGACTGAGTGATTCTCGCAATCATGGTTCGCCTTCGCGAGATCCCAAGGACCGCGGCGTTCGCCTGGTCCCCCGACCCGTCGAAGCCTCTTTTGATCACCGGCACTAGAGCTGGAGCTGTCGATGCCGACTTTTCTGATGAGACCAAGCTGGAGCTGTGGGACCTCAACCTTGACAACCAAGACCAAGGCCTCGAGCTGCAGCCCATAGCTAGCATCAGCACCGACTCGAGGTAGGCTTTGCTGCCGCACTACAAATCAAACATCTTGGCTCACGACACTTAGATTCTATGACCTCGCTTGGGGACCGGCCGATTCCGACCACCCGAGGGGCATCATCGCAGGTGCCCTCGAAAATGGCTCTCTCGACCTGTGGGATGCCGAGAAGCTCATCGACGGAGCCGAGGATGCCTTCATGTCCCGCACAACGAAGCACACCGGTGCGATCAAGTCCCTCCAGTTCAACTCTCTCCGACCGAATATCCTTGCGACCGCCGGCGCAAAGGGAGAATTGTTCGTTTACGACATCAACGACGTGGAGAACCCATTCCGACTGGGAACCGCCGCTGCTCGCGCGGACGACCTGGAAGTTGTCGCATGGAACCGCAAGGTAGCGCACATTCTCGCTACCGGAGGTTCTGGTGGTTTTGTTACCGTCTGGGACTTGAAGACCAAGAAGGCCTCTTTGACCCTGAACAACAACAGAAAGCCCGTCAGCGCCATTGCGTGGGATCCCAACAACTCGACGAAGCTCCTGACCGCCACCCACGACGACACCGCTCCCGTCATCTTTCTTTGGGATCTCAGAAATGCCAATGCGCCCGAGAGAACGCTTCAGGGACACGAGCAGGGTATTCTCTCCCTATCTTGGTGCCAGCAGGACAGCGATTTGCTGCTTTCTTGCGGCAAAGACAACAGGACTCTGGTGTGGAACCCTCAAACTGGAGAGAGACTGGGAGAGTTCCCTGAGGTTACAAACTGGACCTTCCTCACTCGATTCAACCCCGCCAACCCCAATCTTTCCGCTACTGCTGGTTTCGACGGCAAGATCACCGTCCAGACCCTTCAGAACACTAACCCTACGAACACGCAGGCCGCTACTAACAACAATCTCGATGGTGAAGACTTCTTTACTAGTGCTCAGACACAGCCGCAGGGAGCGTCGTTCTCCTTGAGCCAAGCTCCCAAGTGGTTTGAGCGTCCAGTGGGAGCTACCTTTGGCTTTGGTGGAAAGCTTGTCATTTTCAAGCAAAATGCCCAGCAAAAGTCCACCAAGATCTCCATCTCTCAGTTCTCGGTTGACTCGTCTATCGGTACCTCCACGGAAAAGTTCGAGGAGTCTTTGCAGTCAGGCGACATCGTTGGTCTCTGCGAGTCTCGTAAGGAACAGGCTAAGACCGAGGAGGAGAAGGCCGACTGGCTCGTGATGGAAACCCTTACTGGCGATAACCCGCGGAAGCGCATTGTTGAGTACCTCGGATTCAACGAGGAAGAAATCACCAACGGAGTCTCAAGCAAAGAAGAGGCGAAACCTGAGGATGCCGCGGCGGACAAGGAGGAGGACACGAAGGAGGCAGAGAAGTCCAACAATATGTGGGGCGAGGCCGACGGAGAAGGAGAGGAAGACTTTTTGTCGAATCTCTCTGCAACCAAGGGCGCCAAGACGGACAGCCCTTTCCACCTGCTCGCTGACACAGATACCACAGTGGAGAAGTCCATCACCAAGGCTTTGATGCTTGGAAACTTTGCAAAGGCCACTGAGATCTCACTCAAGGAACAGCGTTGGGCAGATGCTTTCCTCATTGCTAACTGCGGTGGCCAGGAGCTGGTGGACAAGGTGCAGAGTGCCTATCTGGCCAGCAAGGACGGTGTCCCAAGCTACGTCCGCTTGCTTGGATCAGTCATTGCCAAGAACCTGTGGGATGTTGTCTACAACGCCGACCTCGAGAATTGGAAGGAGTCAATGGCCATTCTTTGCACGTTCTCTGACCCCAAAGAGTTCCCGGATCTCTGTGAGGCTCTTGGTGACCGCATCCTCGAGAACGGCTCACGCAAGGATGCTTCTTTCTGTTTCCTCGTTGGGTCAAAGCTTGAGAAGGTCGTCTCCATCTGGATCACAGAGCTTGAGGAGGCCGAGCAGGCTGGCATGCAGGAGCCTAGCGATGATTCGACGTTCTCTGTGCACGCTCGTTCACTTCAGCACTTCATCGAGAAAGTGACCATCTTTCGTCAAGTTACGAAGTTCCAGGACTCTGGAAAGGAGCAATCTGCCGACTGGAAGCTGTCAGCTTTGTACGAGAAGTACACGGAGTACGCCGATATCATTGCCGCCCACGGTCAACTCGCAGTTGCCCAGAAATACCTGGACTTGCTGCCCAAAGAGTACCCCGAGGCGCAGCTGGCAAGGGAGCGCTTGGCACGGGCTACGGGCAAGGCCGCCGTCTCGCAGGCCGCACCAAAGGCGCCGGCTGCTGGACGTCGTCCGGGACAACCCCCTGCGGCGACCAACCCCCGGGCCACCCCCGGTTATCAGCCCTACCAGCCCACTGCTCCTGCTCCGACTCCTGTCGGTGCTAGCCCGTACGCGCCAACGGGACCGGCTCTCGTGGCAGCAACCGGACCGGCAGCTGCGTCGAACCCGTATGCCCCGGCTGCCCCGGCGATCGGTGGTTACACACCTACCGGCCAGTCGTCCTACGCCCCGAGCCAAGGCTACCAGCCTCCCGTCGCTCAGCCGGCCTACCAAGCACCCTCGGGCTACGGACCACCTCCCTCAAACTTCGGCTCGGTGCCGCCGCCGCCGCGCAACTCCACGCCTACTACGTCCTTCCGCCCCAAGGAGAGTTGGAATGATGTGCCTCTGGTTGCCAAGGCACCCCCTCCAAGGAAGACCACTCCTAGCGTCGCTCCAATCTCTTCGCCGTTCTCTCAGCAACCTAACCAGCCGGGCCCCCCGCCTCAGAGCCCGTACGGACGCACTGGTTCAACGCCTCCTCCTCCGCCGCCCAAGGGCCCTGCCCCGCCTCGTGTCACGTCTCCTCTGGCCGGACCTCCCCAGACTTTCCAGGCCCCGCCTAGGCCAACATCATCGGCATCGAACGCATACGCTCCTCCGCCCCCTCAGCCTGGCGCGATGCCACCACCTACCATGCCTCGCACTGCTTCGCCATACAACCCTCCTCCATCTGGCCCTGCCCCCTCTAACCGCTACGCGCCCGCTCCCTCGGCCCAGCCGCAATCAAGCCAGCCCCCCTTGGGGTCCTCTATGCCACCTCCCGGAAGCCAGCCTCCCCCGAGAAACCCCTATGCGCCGCCGCCCCAGCAGCAGAGCACACCGTCAAACCAGTACGCGGCTTCGCCGTACGGAGCCCCGCCTACAGCAGCCTCGAGGCCGCCCACTGGCCCTCCTCCTTCCAACGGGCCCCCGCCTGCTGCCAGAGCCCAACCGACCCCTCCTCCCCCGAAGGCGGCTGCCCCGCCCAAGGCCAGACACCCAGCCGGTGACCGGTCGCACATTCCAGCTCACGCCCAGCGACTGGTCGATGTCCTCAGCTCGGATATGCAGCGCGTAGCTTCTCGCGCGCCTTCATCCTTTGCTGCACAAGTCAAGGACACTCAAAAGCGCCTCAATCTGTTGTTTGATCACTTGAACAACGAGGAGCTGGTCAAGCCTGACACAATCGATCAACTTTGTGCTTTGGGTGAGGCTATTGAGCAGAAGAATTATGAGGTTGCTCACAAGATCCAAGTCGAGATCCAGCGGGACAAGACTGATGAATGCGGTAACTGGATGGTAAGTTCGCTGCTACAACACTTCGCTTATTATGTACTAATATCTTATCACAGGTCGGTGTGAAGCGTTTGATCAGCATGAGCAAGGCCACTCCATGAGTGCCTTCTCGAAGTTAAAGGGATGGGATGTCATGGGACATGAGATGTTGATGATAGCCAACTGCGCTTTTACGTATACATTAGAGCTTAAATCGAATGTGGAGACTGTGATTGAATGCATGCAATTCTGCCGTGGTTGATGTTGTCATGATCTGATCGCATAACAGTGAAAACTGGAAAGCGCATATTCGGGTGAGAGATTGAAAAGCTCAATCTGCTATCTGATGATGTTGACGTCGAGACTACCAGTTATTTAAATATCGAGGCGACTACAATTGTTCTCTGAAATGGGAATTGCAAGTGGTTGTCAAGACTTGTTCCCAGTACGTTTTCGTGGGAGGTGAGAGGTTTGGGTGGCTTGACTCAGGTAGAGCTCCCTTCCTACCTACCTTAGGGGTAAGCTTGCATAGATAAGATAAGCAAGGGCGGGTTAAAGCCAACATCATCCACAAAACGTCACACCTCGACAATCTGTCACCCCACAGCCAACAAACCAAATCACCCACGATGACGGAGTCAACGCCAGAGGATGCTGCGGCTCAGCGCGCAGCTGAACAAATTCGCCTGCGCAAGGCGAAGCGCGAGGCAAAAATTCGTGCTGGCGGCACCGCGAGACTCAACAAGATCACTGGTCTTGGTGGAGGATTCCAGCGAGGTACGATGACCGAATCCTCTTCGACAGTTTGCGAAACTGCAGACACCAGTTTCAAGCTTCACAAATGCTGACTCTCAGTTTGTTTGTAGATGAGCCCGTATCGACACCTCCCTCAGCATCATCGTCCCCAGCTCCGGCCACGTCAGGTCTGCCGAAGCCCAGCGTGAGCGCCGACCATGCAGACCCGGAGGAAATCGACATCTCCCAACACTACTACGAACCAGCCTCGACACCTCGTCCCGCTGCCGCTGGACCGCCCTTCGACCCGAACTCCATGAACGAGGACCAGCTTCGACAGATGATGCTCGGCTTCGAGGGCCCCGGCGCGGGGGGAGCCCCGCAGAACCCTTTTGCGGGCCCCGGTATGGGAGGAGGCATGCCCGGCGGCGAAGACGATCCCTTGATGAAGATGCTCTCGCAGATGATGGCCGGTGGCGGCGCTCCCGGCGGAATGCCAGGCTTCCCGGGCGCCGGCGGTGCGCAGGGTGGTTTCCCCGCGGGATTCCCTGGTATGCCAGGCATGCCCGGTATGCCTGGTATGCAAACACCCGAACAAGCCAAGGCCGCTTCGTCCGCCTACATCTGGCGCATTGTCCACGCCGTTTTTGCAATCTCTCTTGGTCTCTACATCGCCCTCACAACGACCTTCTCCGGCAGCAAGCTTGAACGCGAGCGCACGGCGCTGTCTTACAACTACCCCACCGGCAGCGATGAGGCAGTCACGGACGTTAACAGTATGGAGAAGGGCCGCGAGATCTTCTTCTGGATTTTTGCGACGACCGAGGCTGTCTTGCTTACGACAAGGTTCTTCATTGAGCGTGGACGCGCACCCCCGCCGGGCATGTTGTGGACCGTTGTGGGATTCTTGCCTGGTTCGATCAAGACTTACGCCGAGACTGCGTTGCGGTATGGACAGATCTTCTTGACGGTGAGGAGCGATATCCTCGTATGTGTGTTTGTCTTGGGTCTTGCTTCGTTGATTCGTGGATGAAGTCACCGGTTTGAGATGATCCCCGGGTTGGGGGCAAGTTCTAGGTGGAGGGCACTTCAGTCGAAGTTGATTCTGACCAGCCTCCCGGAATCATAGTCAATATACTATTTCTAACTAGAGTGCAACCCATCGGTCTTGAAGTTTATTGAAGCCCAAAGCGCTCTTTTGAGAAGTGGTGCAGATCTTGAGTGGTTATGTTTCGACTCAGTACAGTGTGCCATTTGCAGGCATTTGATCCTAGTCTTATCTTTGAAGACAAATTTTTCCTTGTGTGTAATTTGACCAACGATACCATCGTGCTGCTAGGGCTGAAACTTCGGCAGAGCACTATCGTTTTCAACTGGCCTGAGAGCCGCGGCATAAGAGGATACATGCTCCAAGTTCAGGATTGTCTCATAGGAATCAGCCAAGTCATGTTCCTGGTCGCATCATATAAGACAAGGCTCGCGGAGCGGTTCTGAGGATCCATCTGTGCCGTGGTAGTTGCGGACACGGAGGCGGAGGCGGACCCGGATAATACCAATATTGCGCCTTATCCGGGCATACTCAACAGATCTACAAGGCGACGAGCGGGAAGTTAGAGCTGGCAACAGAGGCACTCGGCCGAAAGTCCGCAGTGACTTCAGTGTCATTGTTAATATCATTCACTTAGGTGTGAGGGTATAGTGCTGATGCATGGCGCAAAGGCTCTATGCCCTGACCGCCTACTTCCTCATACTCAAGTGCCGTGTCCGTATTCTTGGCTTTAGGAGATTTACAAATGTTAGTCCGCCCGGAGGCCGTCGTTAAGTTCAAAATATCCCTGTTATAGTCGCTGGGCTAGGATAGCTCCCCGGGATCGTTGCAGATCCATAATTCTGTAGATTTTGTGATTAGAGGAGTTGCCCGAAGGCCACCGCACAGCCGGTCATTTACAATCCGAATACTCCAAGCGGGTGTAACATCCACCCTGACTCCAGCGGAGCCTTTGACGGATTTTATTTTGACGGAGAGTAATGAAGTTCCCGAGCAGCCTCATCTCCAACTTGAGAGGAGAAGTATGTATCGTATAAGATGACTTGGTGCCGATTCAGTAGTCTGGTAGTTTCCGCAATATGACCAAGTCAAACGAATCTGCATAACTCGGAAAACAATCTCTCATAACACAAATCGAAAATGGCAGGACTTGCAACCATCACCGCAGCTGTAGCGGCAGCCGCCCTCCTACTCCGCCTCATCTACAACTGGCTCATGCCCAAGCCGATCCCAGGCCTCCCGCACAACCAGGACTCGGCACATCGTATCTCGGGCGACGTCCCCTACTTTGCGGAATACGACAAGGCGGCGCGCTTCCGGACCAGGTTCTTCTACGACCTGGTGGCTAAACACAAGTCGGCCGTAGTGCAGGTCCTCCTGCCCTTCTCCAAGCCCCTCGTCATCGTCGCCGACTATCGCGAGTCGAGGGATCTCATGGCGAAGCGGAGCAAGGAGCTCAGCCGCGGGTACATGAATAACGTGGCGTGGCAAGGATTCTTGTCGGAGCACTTTATTGCCATGGAGGATGCGCACCCGTCATTTAAGAAGTCGAGGTTTCTTACCAAGGACTTGATGACGAATAGCTTCCTTCACTCTGTAAGATATTTCCCTCCCCCTACCATCACTCCTATTATACCAATTTGGTATAACGCATCCAAGGCATCCCATTCAACGAATATTAATGTGCTCTTAGGTTTCTGCCCCGGCTTCGCATGTAGCCATCTCTGACTTCATTCGTCTCTGGAAACGCAAGGCAGCTCTCGCACAAGGGCTGCCATTCGAGACCGTCGAGGACTTGGAGGGCCTCACCTACGACATCATGATGACAGCCGTCTTTGGCGTCGGGTACGAGGAGAGCACTACGACGAAGTATTCCAAGCTCCTGGAAGGTGCCGATAACGACGTTGTGGTTTCCAGCGGTTCGTCCGCACAGGTTGCCAAGTTCCCGTCACCCGAAACCCCGGCCCTGGTGAAAGCTCTCCACGTTCTCAACGTCTCCATCACGGCGGTATTTGGCTCTGTATTCCCCAAGCTGTCCGTATTCATCGAGAACCTGAAGCCCAAAGCGCGCCAGGCTCTGAAGTTGAAGAAGGATGCAGTACAAGCCCAGATCGATGCTGCTGTCAAAAGGGCCGCCAAGGGAGGAGACTCGTCGGAGCACAAGTCGGCGGTAGACTACGTCGTCTCCCGCGAGAAGACAGCGGCCTTCGAGGAGGGACGGGAGCCAAAGTACGACGGCATGCAGCTGAACGATATGCTGTGGGGATACATCGCCGGCGGCCAGGACTCCACCCACAGCACCCTGTGCTTCACGGTCAAATATCTCGGCGCGCACCAGGAAGCCCAGCAAAAGCTGCGAAGCGCCCTGCGATCCGCTTACACGGAGCCATATGCGCAGAAGCGCGAACCCACCATTGAGGAGATTCTCAGGACTCAGGTCCCCTACCTTGACGCCTTCATCGAGGAAACGCTCCGCCTGTGCAGTCCCGCGGGGGCCATCACCAAGGAAACCGTCCGCGACATCAACATCCTAGGCCACATCGTCCCCAAGGGCACGACGCTCATGTTCCTCCTGACTGGTCCGACCTTTGTACAACCAGGCGTGCCCGTCGACGACGCCAAGCGCAGCGAGACCTCGCAAAAGGCCACGGGCGAGGGCGTCGGCGACTGGTCCCACAGCGACTTCCCCGCCGAGGACTTCCGCCCCGAGCGGTGGTTGCAGGTCGAGGGGGAAACGGTCAAGTTCAACAACAACGCGGGACCATTTATGAGTTTCAGCAGCGGACCCAGGGGCTGCTGGGGGAAACGGCTGGCGTACCTGGAGCTGAGGATGATTGTGACGCTTTTGGTGTGGAACTTGGAGTTTTTGAAGTTGCCTGCCGAGCTGGAGGATCCTGGTTTGACGGAGGGGCTTTTCACGAAGCCCAAGTCTAGTATGATTAAGTTGAGAGTCATTTCTGATACGGAATAGTCTGGGGTTGAAAAGGGGGAACTGAAGTCGGTTTCTACTTCCGAGTATCGAAATCGGTAATCTTGCTAGCTTTCACATAATATAGTGCGGTCTATCATCAAAGCAAGGAAAGAAGGGAGAGATGAAAAACACACAAGACGTGGACTATTTCGAGGATTGGAGTAAGTCATCAGTCGTTTAAGTTGTTGTTAACTTTATACTAGGCACATTAGTCCGCAGAAAGGCTTGCCCTTTGCGGATATCTGTGTGTAACTACCATTAAGTGCCAACTAGCACAAACGTATATCTTTGAGTTCAATCTGCCTCAGGGACCTTTAACGTAGCAGTCCTATGCCGTTTCTGGAGCCTTCTAAAAGATTGTCAAGTCAGCAAATGTCGTTGAAACCAGAGAGCAAGTGGGCCCAGACAAAATGAGAGCATTACCATTTCCACCGGTCCACTTCTTCTACACTGAGAGAAGACAGTCCGGCAAGAACATGTCGCTTCCTGTAATCCCGCGATTGAGCCTCACAGGGCCAGACACACAAAACAAGGGAGCCATAACACCAAGATAGACCTGAACACTCCCGCCTTAAACGACACGAACAGCAACCCTCAAAAGGGCAAAAACATACAACACCAGGTATTCGCTGGTCGTCACCGACCCAACTACTAATCCGGCCCTCACTGGCTTATCTATGGGAGAGCGGACGGGATCCCGAGTTTTCCAGTGGGTATGGTCGTATGTGAAGGCTTCAGGGTGCTGAGTTGTGTATAGACGCTATTTCGGAGGGAAGATGCGGCTCTGCTCTCAACTTTGGATACCATATTTGATGTATTTGATAGTAAGCCGCCTCAGAATTGCGAAAATCATCAGAGGAGTTATTTTCATCGCTTCTAAATTTTGGGGGGTTGAATTTTACAACGTTGAATGCTGGTGGTGAATATTGATGCTGGTGTTTCGAACAACCTGCAACATCTCGCACCTGGCATCACGCTTACCAGAGACAATGCATATCAGTTATATTTGAACTAAAGAAAATCAAAAGTCGATTATTCAATACTCCCGCTTCTTCAATAACGGACAATGAAACAAAACTAGCAAATCCCCTAATAAACCTCAAATATTTCAAAACGCGGCGTCGACAAACGAACTTCAACACCGTCAAAGCCACACTTCACTAAGCAAGACCCAGCCCCCAAAACCAACTTGACCAACCAAACGAAGCACCATCAGACGCGGGTTACCTTTTCTGGACAATCCAGCAACCACATTTTCCTGGACAAAGGAGACTTTGAAGAATAGTATAGTATGGCTGTTGTAACGGAAAAGCCCATGTTTATTTCCTAAGCTATCACAAGCCACAGGGGAACGCGTACCCGATTACTCGTTCGTCCACCTCCCTCACCTAAGTAGGCACCTAGGGTACCTTCTTGCCTCCGTGTTGTTGTTGATAGTAGTTCATCCGCCGCCCTTGACTTCATCATCGGCTGTCTCCACTTCCGTCCCCCGGTCTCCGCCTCCGCCTCCGGAGTCCCCTCACCATCACGCCGATGAAACCTTCCGTGCTCACGGCTCCCCCACGCCGCCGTGCACGTTTTTGCCTACCTACTCGCCCAAGATAGCGCGAGATGGTAGTCTGGCAGGCTTATCAAGTGAGAACAGACACAAACAAAACACACCCCCGAACCCTTCACCGACGGGCACTAGGCAGTAGTAGCTCGGCCAAAGAACGCCATCGAGGTTTGCGGTTCGTTCCAGCTAGCAGTGTAGCACAAGCCCAGCCAGCCCGCCAGCCACTAGAGATAGATCGTAGGAGGCCGTGGACAGCAAGAGCCACTCTATTTGTCCAAGAGTGCGGATCCAGCCCAGGCCAGAATGGAATTTTGTTCCCTCTGATTCACCCATTCAAGCTCCCTCCATCCAAGCCTCAATCGCTCGGTCCCTTAGATCCAAACGAGCCTCGCACTTTGCACTTCGAACTGCGAACTTTCTTATCTCTGTCCATTAAAAACACATTCCCCAGACCTCGTCACCGCCCGACCGCTCAGATCTCCCTTCCCTCCTATTCCTAATCACCCGCCCGTTCACCCCGCGATTCTTTCCGATCAGATTCGCATGCCCCCCGGACAAGCGGGCGTTTTCTTGGAGGGGGTGACCTGCCAGCCTAACCCCACCATCGCATTCCCCGCCATCCGAGACATCCACACAGGACCACCACAGCAACCTCAAGGGGCCCTGGGGTCGGTGAGGTGGGACAAGGGCGAACAGGTGAACATTGAAGCCACTAGTACTAAGCATGTGGCCTTCAATCTCCGAGATAATATCGCAAAAAAGTGACTGCAGGTGCGGAGCGGAGTGAAGCAAAAGGATCCTCGCCAAGCGCTGTCGTCTGGCTAGAGGTGCTAGATGCGCGAATACGCATACAGTGATCGACGTCGATGAAAAAAAAAGAGGAACCTGCGGGGTGCATCCACACCACGCGAGCTGGAGCTTTCACATGTCAAAAAAACAAAGGCTGCCAAACTCCGAGGAGCACCCCCAAAGCCTGGACTGAGCGCTTCCCAACCCTTGCAGATTCTTGTGGTGCGTCAGTCGCCAGGGAGGAGCAAGAAGTTGAGATGGCAGATCAGCCCAACAGAAATAGGAGGGGGATGAAGGAGGAAAATCATTGAAGCGACAACACATTTGCAAGTAAGACGAAGTCTATTATGTGTGGAATATGTTTTTTTGGTTTAATAATAGAATTTGGGGGGAATAACAGTGCGAAGGGTATCAACTACAAGAGCCTTCCCTGATCAAATATAATAAATCTGGGTAAATCTGTTCCCGCAAGTAAATCATCGCAGCCTCCCGTGCGCGGCCCGCTACAGGGCTGGGATACTCCCGTAAATTACGTTCATAATCGTGCCCAACATATCCTGCCTTGCTTCCTCTGGGAATCTGCCTTTTGATAACGATTCCCACATGCTGCAGGTATCTCCTCTCCTACATCGTGATATAGCAAGCAACCTCATACCCGAGGAGGCAAGCGCTGGCGTCCTTCGGTTCGGTATTCCGAATTTCGTCCGGAGGAGCAGTGGAGCATACCAATGGTAAGGTATTTCCACTGATGGTAGTGTTGTTGACATTGAGCCGTGATATCACCGTCCCACGAGGGCGCTTTCCTGAGCCCTGAGCTCGTCGTTGCCCTTCATTATATCTTCAAGCCACTCGGCCGCCATGGTCAACATCGTGCTCTTGCTGAAGCCGCCTCCCTTGAGACCTGGCACCAGCTCGCAGAGGTCGTCGAAGCCTTCCTTGATCAATGTCCGGCGCTTTTGCTCGCTCTTGATGTGGTTTTCTCGTTTCTGTGCATCCGTGAGGTTCTCCCGTGCTGGTTTGGCACCAGTCCCGGATTTACGCCTCCGGCCTGTGCCGTTTTCTGCTGGCGGAGTGGCTGATGTAGGTTCGGCCTTCGTCTTGCGTTTTCTTGCCGCTTTCATTGCAGTACCATTCTCTTCATCATCCTCGTCTACTTCCTCCTTCGTGCTCCTGCTCTTCCTCCTTTTTCTTGGTGGTGCATCAGCATCCTCTTCTTTTTTCAATACTTCAGATGACTTTCGGCTGTGACCTTTTCCTATTGCGTGCTCGCCGTTCGGGCTTGGTGGGCGAGTATTATCTGTGCTTTGGCTTGGCTCCAAGCATTCCATGTACCTCAGCTGGCCTCGAGACAGAGCATCGTAGGTTTCTTTAGGATCCGGAACAAAGCTGTTGGAGCGGTTGAATCGAGCATCCGAGCCCCACTGTACATCGATATTGGGAACCTGGTTAGCCCGTTGCGAAGACACTCTCTCGCCAGGGGCGGGTCCGAAAAACATGTCTGCGAATGTGCTATCATGATCATCAACGAGACTGGCCTGAGCCACGCTGCCCCGTTCAGCACGCTTGAAATCCTCCATAGGTTGGTGCCTTAGATGGCCGACGGGTGGACCGAGGGAGTGCGGAACATCCCTGGTGCTGCTGAACATCGGCCCAGACCCATTTGTGTTCGTTCTTGACGAGGAACCGTTGTGCAGTAGTGTGCTGGCGGCCTGGAGAACATCGGCTGAGGCGTGCTGATCGAGGGTCGGGTGTGATTGCTGATGATGGTGCTGCTGCGGCGGCGGCGGCGGCTGCTGCTGATGCTGCTGCTGCTGTGGGGGAGGGGGAGGAGGAGGCATCAGGTTTGAGCCCATGGACATCATGTCCGCAAAGTCGTTATGAGGTATACTATGCCCGGGGGAAGCGAGAGGCGGCGGTGCCGGTGACTGGCCAAAAGACGTCGCCGTCCCCATGAACTGGGGAGGTAGTTCTAACCAAGCATCGCTGAAGTTGAGTCCTTCACCGAAAGAAGGCAGATTGTAGTGATCGGCAGTCATGTCCTCGAAAAAGGAACTGAGTAATTTGGTTTCATTGTCGGAGAGGAGAGGTGCGCCAGGCGCAGGTTCGGGAGGGTCGAGGAAGAAGTCTTGCGAAGGATCAACGGCATCTGGGAAAAGGTTGTGAGTATTTGACTTTTGGTGGTAAATGGACGAGACGGTTTACTAACAGCCGAAGGGCAAATTGGGGTCTGACGGCTGCGTCGAACCCATCCTGGGACGTTGTATGGCGAGCATGGGTGCGTCTTGTGGCAAATGGACGATGGCCGTCGAATGCGCTGGTTCTGGTTCTGGTTCGGTGAGCGAGAGACGTTGGTCGTGAAGGCCTCGAAGCGTAGTAAAGAGTGAGTGTAGTCGACTCGAAGGAGGGCATGCGCATTCCTATGGGCAAATCGATATCCTATGAATCACTGACGGAGGGGCGGGACGTGTCTATCAGGAGCGCAGTGTAGCGCAGCGCGTCTATACGAAGAGGCTCGTCTGGCTGGGAGAGGGCATGCGGTGAAGTGGCCTCGAATGAGTTATCGGCCAGTCGCTTGATTGCCTTGTGATTTGGCGGGGTGGCGGATTGTTGTTGTGGCAGCAGTGACCGCTATGGTGTCGTTTGATAGGAGTCTGGAGAGGTTGGTGGGTGTATTTGCCGTCTTTAGGTGCGCGCCGTGGCAGAGCAGGAAGAGACTGAAGTAGAGGCTGGCAGGTTACGTCGAGGCGGAGGTGGGGTGGTGGCTGCGCTTAGGCACCGCACCGGGCTTCTGGATCCCTAGTGCTAGAAGGAGGTTCTCTTCGCCGTCGTCTCGTCCGATGAGCGGGGGGTGAGGGGGAAGGAAGAAAGGAGGGATGGATGGATGGATGGATGGATGGATGGCGATGATGAGCGCGAGGCAAAAGGCGGGACGGGTTCCGTGTAAGGTAAGGCGAGGCAAGGTGAGGTGAAGTGAAGTCGGGGAGAGCAAGCGGAGCTGGGGGCAGCGTGTGGGATGGCGGCAGAGTGGTGTACTAGAGCACCGCGTCAAGCAGTGCTACGTTCTTGATGGATGGTGAGATGGAGAGCTCCTAGTTGAAGAGCATCCAAGGTCTACCCCGTATGGCGGACGTTAATGCGGCCCATGCAGGGCTAAGAAGAAGGAAGAGACCCTTGAGACTTGTCGAACGGCACCTCAGAAGCAGAGTCTGGGTACGGAGTAGTCTCTAGACGTACGGTGTCGAGCCACGAGACGACGAGGGTACGTGTGTGTGTCCAAGATGGGATGCGAGCGCGAGGCCCATTCGAAGCCTTGAACTACTTGTATACTGTAAGGTAGATAGATTCTGAACCAACGTGGACGAAGCTGGTGCTTTGGCTTGATGTTGAGGTTGGCTCAACCGTGTACTTGCATATCTGAGAGAGCGCCCAAACGGATAGCGAGGAATAGCAACAGGTGAGGTGAAACGGACCCCCAATCAGCTCAGGGAGGTGGCCAGACGTAAGCTAAGGCAAGTAAGACAGATGGGGAGAGGAAGTGGACGTGGTCGTAGGCGTTGGACGCGGGCGTGAGGTGACGGACACGGTACTCTCTAGGACTGTACGGTGCAGCGAGAACGAGGGCTCAAGGACCCCGTGATTTTTTTCAGCCGGGGAAAGTGAGTGACGAGCAGGAAATCAAGGACTCGAAAGGAATGAAAGGTCTGGGGCACCAAACAGCCAAAGTACGACCCCTGTTGTTGACCAGGGTGGTTGAGTGCTAGCCTGAAGTGTAGAAGAGAGAGGTCAGAGACTCTGACTCTCTGGGTACGAATAGTAGTGAGGATTGAGGTAGAGGTGGAGGAACGTAGGAAGAGGGATCAGGGAGGGCAAAGTCGCAAGTTGCAGGGAGGGGTGGGGTGTGAGGTGTGAGTGGGTTGCCGGCACGGTCACCTGCATCGCGCGCTGCAAGCCTCCGCACTTACCTTAGTGGCAGCAGTCAACGGACAGTGGACAGGTTACCTTAGGCCGGCAGCAATGGAATTGGAAGCAGAGCAGGGCAGGGCAGGGCTCGTGCCGGCCTAATTTTCCCATTGCTACCTTTGCCCAGTTTCTTACACTACGGATGAGGATGCCATGGATGGTCCTAAGATATGCCGTCCTACCTGCCCTGCCCTTCCCCCAACAACTGGAAAGGACCAAAGGCTGATTGGACAAGGCGCCGGATCTTGGATCGGAGCCATGCGGACATGAGACAAGCCGAGCCGTATCGTTGAAACGGTGCGGTTCCGCTTACGCCTTACCTAAGCACCCAAGGTAGGTAGAGGCTGAGGCACCTCTTTCTGGCGGGCTCTGGTCACACGAATGGCGGTCAGCAGGTGGACCATCGACGGATTAAATACGTTTTGATTGGTTCATTAAGCTCTTCTCAACCTTCCTGTTAGCTTGGTGCCTGACTGCTTAGCTGGGTGGGTCGATGCCAGTCTTCGATGCTAACGGGCTTATGTCCCTAGCGGGTCATCACATGCCAGCTCGGAGCTCTCCCCTCTCACTTTCTCCTCTCAATTCTCTCTCATCCCCAATCTCTTTCCCCCCTCCCGCTGTCCAGCGCTGTCAGTCATCTTCATGTTCTCCCTGCCCCAAGAATTACCTTACACTAGGCCATTCTAGGCTTGGCCTCTTGATGTACTTTTGTACCTGTGTCCGTGCACCCGTGCTCCGCATCATCAACCTTCCTAAGCTTTTCCCAGCACTTTCACACACCTCACCACGCTCACCTCATCTCAGTTTGGGGTAAGGTAGCTTTGCAAAGAGGTTCCACGTTCGCACCCATTCGACATGTTCTGAAGGTTGTGTTCCTCAGCTTTTACTTTGCTTCGATATACCCTGTCTTATTCCCGTTGACTCTCAAGTCTGGCCTCATCCTTCGGCCAAACTCGTTGCTTCCATCTGTCGCCTGGAACCGCATCTGTAACACGTCTTCATCCCGTTTTGTGTCTTTCAGTCTCGGTATCTCAATTAACGCTGTCACATCGACACTTGCCGCACTGTTTGTTCTACCCATCCGGATACCTCGTACATCAAATCCTTTGGAATTCTGACGGCTGTCCACAACTTTTTGCTAAGCACCTAAAGTAGCGCCGACAGATCCTACTAAGGCACCTCACAGACCCTGAACGGTTCTTGACACGGCGAGACAAAGGAAACAAACACAGCCTCGGTTGATACGAAACGGCTGGTTGTCCCAGCCTGTCTGTCTGTGGTTTCCCACCAGCCAACCAGTCAACCATCGACCTCCTGTGTCCAACTGTCTACCAAGTATTCATCGTTCGAGAACTAGGAGCAAGCGCCGAGATTCTTGACGGCCGGTCGATCGCACTGATCGAAATCCTCCACGCCCGAAGCGTCCCGCAACTCGTAAGGACTAGAGTTCTCAAGCAAGGCTAGCAAGGTATTCCCTGTCCAACGCCGTTTACCACTACCGAGCCAACGCAAAACGCCGTTCCCTTCAGGTTTTCCTCCAGACAAACTCCAGACTTTGATAGAAGTCTCTTCTTCTTCAGCACCGTCGCACTCGCATGGGTTGCCGCGCCTAAGCCCCATCTGGCTTGGCTAAAGATTCAATCTTCACTCCCGTTTCTTCCTGGCCGCCAAGGTGAACCGTGAAGCTCACATTCTCCGCGTGCCAGGCCAGCTGATCGAAACACTTGATTTTGCAACCAATCACATTCGCCAATCTTGCTGGCCGTGGCGGTAATCTGCGCTTCGGTCACGTTTGCCAGATCCGACCTCTCCTCCTATGCGTACCTACCGTACTCCGTACCTTTCTCCCTACCTTGCCTTACTCTCGACCGTGCCGAGGAACCCAATTGTCACATTTCCTTCGGCCTCACCATTGACCAGCCCCTGGTCTCCATCTGCACCTACTGCACAACCTACGTCGCTCATCCTACCCCAGGCCCTCCATCACGTCGTGGGTCGCACCATTACCCCACAATTTCTTATTTCATTCCCGTCCCCTTCGTCTCTTAACACGCAAGGTACGCGATACTTTTCGCTATTGAGCACAGCTCCAGCCCTGCCCTAGGCGCTGCGGGTTGGTGGTTGACTCTGGAGTAACAGCCATCACGAGCCTTGAGAAGAGCAAGTTGATCAATACTACCCCTGGTAAGACGCGCCCACTAGTTCACCATCTTCATTACGCGTTTTCTTGTTATTGTTCAGAGGCCTACCTATCTACCTACATGCCTAGACTGGTTTTCCTGCAGCTTGTTTAATTGGCATCCGAGGTCTATGGCCAGCTTCTAGTGAAGATGGGCCGGGCAATCCCGAACCTTGTTCCTCATAACCAAATACCTGTCATCGTCTGGTTGGTCTCCCAATTCTCGACATGATTCATACTCTCTAGCTGGTGCGGATGGCCAGTCCGCTTGCTGCTTCACTCCCCTATTACCTAACGTAACTCATGCCTTACCACGGTTCAGCTGTCGTTACGCCCCTCCCGATCATCGCACTTTCGCCGGTCCTTCACCTTGTCTGCTTAGAGCAACGACCCATGTCTCCAGCCACATCCTTCGTTTCCCAAATCCCCTCTGCTGAACTCAGTTTGACGAGCAGCCTACCAATTCAAACCTCACGCCATTGTACGGTTACATCATAACATATCCGAATGTGCACAGACACATCGTTTCCGGCTCTTATGCGGATCGCTGATTCTCTGCTCAGGAACCGTTTCCAGTTCAACTACCGGCACTGACGCCGAAGCCTCATGGCTGCCGTCACACCTTCGCTTCCCGCAATGCTACCTCGGAGTCAGCTGCAAATTCGCCGGAATGGCCTTGTCGAGCTACAAGCAATTCCGCCAATCCTACGGCCCCTCCTTCGGGCCTACCTCCTAGGATATGCTTCCGCTGTTGCTCCGAGAGTCCTTACGTTGCTGATGCAATACCTTACCAAAAAACGCCGTCAAATTGCAAAGGAGAACGGGTGCATCGGGTTTGTGGCGCAACTGAGGCGGATAGTCCTCGCCGGTCTAGACCCCCAACGGTTTCCAACCTTCTGTGCCTTGCTTGTTGGTGGCAGTACACTTTTAGAGGTATGTACATTTCTTTCAGCGTGAAGTATCAAACACTTGTAATTCCCGAGACAAGGACTGTGGTTGCTTCACTTGGGTTCAAGTACTGTGACGTAGGCATCCAGTACACATGGTGATGGAGACCTCAGAGTTGCACTGGCTTCTCTCCTAGATGCATACAAGTTCTTGTCCCTTGCATTAGTTCCTGATAAGCAGCGAGTTCAGAAAGGCGGCCTGGAGTTGCAGTCACTGCAACTACAACAATTTGCTAAACAGACCTAATACCTTCTGATAGGAGCCACTTCGACGTATTTTCGAACGTAATGCCAAAGGTCTCACAGAGGTGACTCGAACTAGGTGAGCAGGATTCGATCCTTCATTCTCTTATTGTTTACAACCGTCTAGTACTGACACACATCTAGACTCGCAAGATGGAGCGCCACATTCATTGCTGCCTGGTTCAGTCTGCAGCTTTTGCAGTCCAAAAAGAGCTCGGCCTTTACAGGCACTTCCCCTGAGAAGTCTGATAGTCCGCCCGGAGCTAAGCTAAAGGAGATCCGGTATGGAGGACGGACTCTTGACTTGACGTTATTCACATTGACGAGAGCCCTGGACGTTCTTGTTGGCGAAGTTTGGGCGCGAAGGCGAGCGCGTCGTGTAGCTCAAGGCAGTTGGACCAAGGTATGCACCAATCATTCATCTTGACGTTAATCTGTTATCATCGTCACTAACTTCGTACAGGCTGAATGGATCATCGGCAGGTTCACCGACCCTTGCTTGTTCGTCACTTCGTGTGCTTTCATCATGTGGGCGTGGTTTTATCATCCCGAAAGGCTTCCCAGCGGCTACAACAAGTGGATCAGTTCGGCGGCAAATGTCGACATGCGGCTGATCGAGGCCCTCCAGAAGCTCCGTGCAAACGACATGTCCTACGGTAAAAGTGGACAGGCAGAATTGCTGCAAGGCATGTGTGAGAAATACGGATGGCCGAACGAATGGGGCGATCCGTCAAAGTCAATCCCCATTCCGTGCGAGATGGTGCACATGGGCTGCGGCCCCTCGTGTGAGCTTCATGCCATCAGCCGCTTCTATCGGTCGTGGAAGTGGTCCATGGCCATGTATCTACCCCTGAGCGTGGCGCTTCTCCTGCGGGGGCCCATCAACAAAAAGACACTCATGCGGACCTTGCTATCATCGTCGAGGTCGGCGGCGTTTTTGGGAGCGTACATTACTTTGTTCTATTACGGCGTTTGTCTCGCCCGCACCAGAATCGGGCCTCACATCCTCGGCAAGGACCTGGCCGCGAGGCAAAGGATGGACTCGGGAATCTGCGTCCGCACGGGGTGCTGCCTTTGCGGCTGGAGCGTCCTCGTCGAGTCCGCCAGTCGTCGCAAGGACATGGCGCTGTTCGTTGCCCCGCGGGCCATGGCGACGCTGCTGCCGCGGCGGTACGGCATGGACAAGCAGTGGAGGGAGACGCTCGTCTTCGCCGCCAGCACGGCTGTTGTTTTTACTTGTATTCATGAGAACCAGGCCCGCGTGCGCGGCGTGCTGGGCGGTGTATTGGGAATGGTCTTGCGCAATTAGAAAAGAGTGATTGTGTTTTTACTGGGGAGTATACGCGAATCAGCGATGGTCAGGGGGATCCTAGCACGGGGACAAAAAACGAGTGATTTGAATAGAGACACTGAAGATGGGTTAGATTCTGGGTACACTTTCCATATCTGTACTCTTTCTGTTACAATAATGAGGCTGGGTAGAGCGATTGTGTTCTGGTGCTAGAGTGTTTGTTAGTTTGTTGTAGTAGAACAAGAAGAGCGGAAAGATGTCATAGCATACTTTCTACTACTCGATACTTGCTGATGCTGTCCATCAATGAAGAGTGATAAATTCGGATCATGTATCAGACGCTTCTGGCGAGTAGTAGGAAGCGTAATCATGACTCTCTAGTGCCGCTGCCCGAGAACGCCGGTTTTGAAGAGGATGGAAACAAATGCTGGTCATGACGTCCAGCTCTTTCTCATTCTCAAGAAGACAATAGGGGGAAATTCCAAGCCAAAAGCCAGTTGATTGGACTGTGATCGGTCGGTGAATTCGTAGAACCTCAGGACCACCAAAAACCGTGACCGGCGACGCGCCCGTCTTCGGCCCGGATTTGAGTTTCGGGGATATCTGCCTGGAAGTGGGGCGATCCGGAAATCAAACCCCGGCGTTCCGGGGGTCTGTATCCCCACCCGTCATTTACCTCAGTCCGATCCTTCGGCTTGGCTCTATTCCTCCTTGGACAATTCAACGACAATATTTCCTCATGTGGCTGAGAAGGTAACTGCATTCTCGCTCTGCTAGGTTAGACTCCACTCCTTTTCTTTCCCTAGGATACCAACTGTCTGTCTGTACCTTAGGAAGACCACCGGTGACCGGGGCTGATGACTTCCAGCGAGACTTCAACGGGTCATTTCCTGTCGAAGGATTGCTAAAGGTCGCCGTATACCGATTTCTGGTGGTTGAAAGCTTTCATCACATTGGATCTCCATCAACAAAGAGCCAATCAGCGGCACCAACCGATATTAAACAGGAGAGGCTTGGCAGACAACACCATAGAGTAACCCGGAGGCTCCTCCGCCGCAATGATACTCCCTTTGAATCCACGTTACCCTTCTTCTGTAGTTTTGCTAACCATTTACCCTGCTTACGGGGGCACACCCTCAAGGCTTGGCTTCTTTGTCCAAGGTGCCAGATAATCAATAACTATCTGTGGCATCCAACCAGGATCAAGCATTGATATTAAAGAATGAGAAAGAAGCAAACAAGGGGCAAGGGAAACCAACCAGAGTTGATGGATTAAACTTGCTCGAACCTGCTCAGTCATTCTTCCAAGACAATCGAGTCTCCACTTGAACCGACGACTTGTCAAACTCCTTCTATTGCAACTGACAAAGCCGAGTCCTCGTCACGGCGTGCCCCTTCTGGTAAAAGGTAGCTCAAGATGGATGTTCCGTTTATATTGCCAGATTCCCCTTGCGTGTATCACGCCCCGAGCGCGCTGTTCCTTCGGGATTGGAATGCTTCCAGACATGCCCAGGCATCCTCGTGGCTCGGCATTACAATAATTGGCGTTGGTGTCATGGGTCATATCGTTGCGTTTCGTGTCGCCATCGGGATATTTGTGATCATGGCCACAGATCTCGGTGGGATAGTCCCGTATATATGTTTATACAGCACTTGCTTTGAATACTGATTCTTGTTGAATCAACCAGTGTTCTCTGTTCCCGGAGCTACGTTCTAGTTCCTTCTATTCACTCTTCCAACCCTCTCTCCCTTTCGATTCTTCATCGAGAGCCCCCAGTCTCGACCTAACCTTTCACCCATATCTTTTCCCCAACCTCAACAACAGGGCCGAGCCAAATACCAAAAGCACAGCTCTCAGAATGCGTCTCTCCCTCCTCGCCATCACGGCCTCAGCCGTCTCCCTCGTCACAGGAACCCCCTTTCACACCCACACCACCCGCAGCATCACCACAAACACAACAACCCTCCCCGTGACCTTTGGCGCAATCCTCTTCCGCGCAATGGACATGCTAGACCTCTTCGGCCCCCTCGACGCCCTCCAGCTCGCAGCCTTCAACCGCCCCATGACCCTCCACCTCGTCGCCGCCACCCTCGACCCGGTAACAACAGCGCCTCAGTCCCCCGGCATGAACGCCCACAACTCGTCCTGGTGGCCGACGATCCAGCCCACGCACACTTTCGACGACGACCTCGATCTCGACGTGCTCATCGTCCCCGGCGGCCCTGGCGTACGGGCGCCCGGGCTGGAGCCGATTGTGGAGTACGTGAGGAGGTACGCGCCGCGGGTCAAGTATCTGATTACGATTTGCACGGGGGCGAGTTTGGCTGCTAGGGCGGGTGCGTTGGATGGGAGGAGGGTGACGACGAACAAGGCTGCTTGGGAGTTGATCACGACGCAGGCGCCGGGGGCGAAGTGGGTTTCGCCGGCGAGGTATGTTGTTGATGGGAATGTCTGGACTTCTTCGGGTGTAAGTTACTTCTGATAATTACGGTCTGATCCCTCTTGCGAGAGAAAGTGACAGTTGAATGGAGGAGAAGTTGAAGAAGAACATGCTGACTGATGTGTGGGTTAGGTTACTTCTGGTCTGGACTTGACTCTCGAATTCATCAAGCAGGTGTATGGCGAGGAGCTGGCGGCCAAGGTTGCTAGGATCATGGAGTTTGTTCCCCATGCTGCGGACTGGGATCCCTTTGCGGACATTAACGGCGTCGAACCGACGTACAACTGATAGTTTTGTGGTTTCGAGGGATGAGAGAAAAGGAAGAATACTGGCAGCATCTCGGAGCACAACTTCCACTTTGAGAGTGAGCGTGGTAGAGCGCATAGCAGCGGTCCAGCCTGGTTCTATTCTCAGTACAAAGTCAGCTTGTTTAGCATTGAGTTGACCTAGAGTGTCCGCTTTACGCTTTCAAATCGTCGTCCTTGACAGAAAGTATCGTGCCCAACTAGTCCAGTTGCCAAAGACCGAAAATATTCCACCGTACTCGTGACTACTCAGATGACATAAAGGCTTTGAACGTTTCAAGAAAGCTCTTACCTGGCAGCATTGACAGTTTGAGTGAGTGAAGGCCGTAGCAGAGAAGACCTGGGAACGCCTCGATTTAAGCTGAACCGCATCGCTCATTGGAGGTCACTTACATCATCACATTGCTTGAAGAAGTAGATGGGGTTGAACGTAGGTTAACCGAGGCGAGATATTGACACCGTTAGCAGACTTGTTCCTGGTACCATTCTCATCAGTTTCATCGCATGAGACACCCTGATGATTGATGAACATTGTCAAGATATGAGCTAAGCAAGCGCCATGAATGATCAAGGCCGGAACTCCCACAAGAAACGCATGGCACGCCTAGGTAGTTGACCAACATATGTTGGCAACCCGGGTGTCATCGACGCTTGAGGAACACACGACGTGCAAGAGCTAGATTCGCATGGAGGCTCAGAGAAAGCTGGGGGTGAGTCGCCGACAGAGACGTGATTGTCGGTATGTCCACTAAGAAGACATTTATGACGAACACAGGGCCCCTACTGCCATCATGTTTGTCCGGTCCCCAGAAGTACACATAGGTTTGAGTGAATCCGTGGCTCGCCTATGATAGGTAGATGTAGGAGCTGCCAGAGATTCTTCAAGACTTGTAGACTTTGATATCTTGCAGTCAAGTCGATGGAGGGTCGATGCCAGAAGTAATAAGACGGTGGGGTGGGCAGAGGATGCTTGTGTTCTTCTCGGATGAGATGAGATTTCATATTCAAAAATTGAAGAAAGTGAGCGAAGGGCACTCGGAAAGCATGCTAAACTGAGGCATGTTCAACCACTGCGACCTTGTGAGGAAGTCATCACGAACACCAGAAATGGTGCCCATCAAGGTAACATCTCAGGTATTAGAGGGCAAGTGTGTTTGCGCTTGCAAACATTTCTTTGAAGCACCATTCAATGTGCCATGACAAGAACTAACCTGATAGACAATTTGAAGAGGAGGAAAAGAAGATGCCACTACACCCGCAATATCTCCTCCTTCGGTCCTGCAATCAAATCACAAGTATATGAATGGTTGTCCACGGCCGTCCAAGGATTCGTGGGGGCTCGTGGGGGACATCTCTGCATAATTTGAGATGACAATCATGACAGGTATCGAAGCGTAGTTCTGCACAACGGCATAAGTCAAATGCGCGGCATTAATCATACACCAGTCCACTGTGCCGAGCTTGGACCAAGTTATGCTCAGAAAATCACAATTGCCGGCGGGGTCCACGTCTCGGTGTAAGTCACCGCTCACCGAGACAGAAAGAAAGCTCACCGAGAAAATATATCTCCAGAAGGCGTAACCGAATAGTGCCGCTACACTACCAAAGCCATCTTATAGAAAGAGTTCTCCGGGTCCATAAATTGGAGCCGATATACTGTGATCGAACGGAACGAGAAGGTAGCCACATTCCGGGTCTTGCCAGCCAGACAAGGATGAACACTCTGCCGGCGCCTCGAGCTTCAAGTTCACGATATCTCACGAATGCCATCATCCGGAACATTTTCATAGACAGCTGGCCCGGGCGCGTTAGGCGCCATAGGAAAGTCCACAGATTATGCAAGTCCAGATGTCTATGGCGAATCATCTGGACTGAGCTACGCCAAATATTTCCGGCAGCCCGACTTACACGCGCCCGCCTCGTACAAACGGGCTGCCAAGTATACCCCACTGGGCGTTAGATACGAACCCCTGGGCTCATGAAGAATCTCAAGAGGCTAGTGTAAAGTCGCTGCTAGATGAGACGAGGTTCCAGATCCCCAGGCACGAGGTGCTGTACCCCGGCTCGGCAAAGTGTAGCTTAATGTACGGCATCGGGGCAGGTAATCGGGAGGAACCGGAGCGGAAATCTGGGGTAGCTCGGGTCGTACCTCGACGAGAGGGACGCATCATTCCGGGGGCGGCTGGCGGCAAACGGGGCCTGTAGGAAAGCTCGGTTCTTGCAAGGCCGCCACTTTGCTGCCGTGGTCCATGTAAGTCTCGTGTACCCAGTCAAAGGTGGACTTGGGAAGGGAGGAAACGGGAACGGCGAGTACAGTACGTAGTTGTGATGATGTGGGCTTGCGGATGGGACGAGCGTCAACGACATCGTCCCAGCCACAAGGCTGATGACACGGCTGTCATCCCGTCAATTCGTAGGGTGGAATTGAGGCCTTAGGCATACTGGCACAGCAGTCCCATGATCTGACAATATCTAGTCGTCAGATTGTAGGAGCCCCTTATCAGACCGAAATGAGATGTGCTGAATAATTTGGCCGAGAGATAGCTTGTCCATGTTGGTTTAGACCGTAGTACGGCCAGAAGCTCACCCAGGGGGCTGGTGTCGTACGGTGTTGGTAGCGGACGAGTGACGGTAGAGTCATATCATGCTGAGTCGATCAATGTTTGGACCATACAAAATGATCCAACTGCCAAACCTGTGCCCTGTCGGGCGTCTGGCGATACGATACGGCCATGCAGGCCTCCGTGGGCAGCGGTAGACACATAGGCCGCGGCATTGACGTTTGCGGGTATCCTCGGTAGGGATATCGTCATTCCCGATGTCATCGGAAGTTGAGAGTGGTTATAGGCGAAGCCAGGAGCGTTTGGGGCCGACGAAGCCGTGATACTCCGGCGTGTCGGGCCAGCCGGGCTCGCTTGGTAGCTCATTGGGTTGGGTGAGTCGAGAGGCAGATCTCGGGCCCCACCAACCGCCGGAACGCACCAGCCCTGTTTTGATGGACCGACTTTGCATTGGAAGCGGCCGGCCAAGACTGTGAGTGGCAGAATTGGGTGGCGTGTACATTTCGCATCAGTCATGGGTGGAATCTGGTGGATGGCATTCGTAGGGTAGGTATCTGTACAAGTTCTCCCAATTGAATTCGAAGGGTTTGGACGAGCATGGATGCCTTTCTTTGCACGCAATCTGTTTTCTTCGACTCCAATGACTCCATTGCTCCAACACGGACGACGGAGCCAAAAATGGTGCGGTCCATCTGGGGGTGACCGAGAACGGAGTCGTAAACGGGCCTTCTCGATCATCATATTTCTCTAAGCTAAAATCGGTCGGGTCGAGGCTGGAAGTGCCTCATGCACCAGGCAACGTGTTTCATTAGCTCTCAGTCGAGCTTGGCGGGTTGAGCGATGGAGCATTGAGTGATTTATGGAGCTGGGGTCTGTTTTTTTTTTTGTTCGATGTCGAGAGGTAAGCTGAGCTAGACTTTTGAGTAAGAGAGTGCGGTGGGAGCGAGCGGACCATACCTCACGTTACATACCTCAGGGTCGTGTAGGACTAGGGGGAATGGGAGGCGGAGGAGGGGGGGCCATGGGAGCTTTGGCGCGGGATGAATGGTGAGGTGTGCGAATGAGCTGTTTGAACCTTGTGGCATGTCGCGTCTTGGATCCAGTTGAGGATGTTTAATAATAACGAGAATCCACCAAAATAAACTGGAACGGTGAGAAGATCACATTAAAAAAAGACGCCCGAGAATTTGGCGTGGACCACGGTGCCACGGGCAGATGTTGCATGGAGGTGGCAGTGGCAGTGTGTGAGAGGTGTGAGAGCGAGCAAAGCGTGCAAAGCGTGCAATGGGAGGCAAAGGTGAGTCGACGGGGGTATCGGACCTGATGCTGCTGCTTGACCGGGGGGTAGCTGCGAGAGTGATGTAACGAGGGGCAGGCCAGCACTGAGGAGCAGGGGCCAGGGATAAGGTGCCGTAGCTGACTTTTTTTTTTCTCGCTGGAAACCAAGGGAACAAGCTGCCCCTCCATGCCCCTCCATACCTGACAATTCCTGACCCTTGATAATGCCTGCTCTTGCTTGAGTCGTTGATCGGTCCGGTCTGTCTGGTGAAAGTGACACCACCAGCCAAGACCCGCTGAAGAAATGGATATGAATGAGCTGAGAGTGTTGCTGGAATGGAGAGAAAACAAGTTACTGATGAGTAGTTCATCATGAGATGCCCGAGATATGGGCAAGATGCAAGATGAGGGCTGAAGCACAGACAAAGTTGAGGTGTCAAAAAAGCAGTGAGAAGGAAGGGGGGGATATCGAACGCCACGACAGACCCGTCAAACAATGCAGCCTGCGTCTGCATCCCATCCGAGCTTGGGGTCTGTCTTTCATGGGATGGCAAGCCGCAATACGGACCGGACTGGACTTGTTCCAAGCATCAGCAACTACGCAGTAAGGTGATAATTCTAGGCAAGGTAGGTTGGATTGGTACAACAACAACGCATCGCATCCCACCATGATTGTGTTCCAATCCCATCATAGCAATTGGTCCAGAAAACCATCAAGTACCCGGAGGGTATCATACTAACGCCACAAGCGGTAGCAGCGCCTTCCCGCTGGATGCCCCGCCATGTCCGTAAAAAGACGCAACTGGCACCTGCTTGGACTGAGTGGGTGAGAGGCAACGAGAGGCATCAGTAAGGCAGGTACTCAGAACGAGGAGGAACAATACCTAATTACTTAGGTAGCATTGGAGAGATATGGAGTGTGAGAGAGAGAGAGAGAGGTACGGAGTACGAGACACGCGTTACGGGGAGAGCTCTAGCCCGGTCAAGCACAAAGTAAGGTAAGGTACTTCCTACCTCAGCTCAGATAGCAGAAAAAAGTGTGTCACTCACCCAATTCCCTGGCGTCGACCGGGCAATCACCACCAATTCACCACCCTCAATCGCCGAGTCACCTCACCGTTCTCGGGGCGTCTGGATCCTCCCCCAATTGGACCCCCCTGCGGAGTGGCCGTACCTGGTACTTCCCTAACTTGCGTCAGGTCCGCCTTCCATTGACCTCCCACTCCCACTCTTGCCTGCTTCTTGCCTGCTCTTGCCATGGCCGCCGGCCTTGCGTTGGATCGACCAGCAGGAGGACCACCCCACCATCTTCCCTCAACCGAATTTACTATATCTCGCGCGCCCTTCCACCACCTCCCATCTCTTCCGTTCCTTCTTCCTTCCTTCTTCTGCCATTGAAAATTCTCTCCTACACATCAATCCATCTCTGACCTCGTCGAACAACCCGACGTGATCCCACTTCAAGGTAAGACCTAGCTCTCGATAGCTCCCTCAAGCTCTACATACCTACCTCACGTCTTCATCACCCCACCCCGCTACCGCGATAAATACCCCGCCTAACTTGGACACTTCGGAAACGCCCGTCCTTCACCAACACCTGAGAAAACCAAACTAACCCTCTCAACCGTCAGACATACCCTAAATACAAATCACATCAGACAACATGGCTCCCATCAAGGTCGGCATCAACGGCTTCGGTCGTATCGGACGTATTGTCTTCCGCAACGCCGTCGAGCACCCCGAGGTCGAGATCGTTGCCGTCAACGACCCTTTCATTGAGACCAAGTACGCTGTGAGTATCACCCCACTTTACCCCTCCATCATGATATCACGTCTGCCACGATAACACCAGCTTCGTCGGTACCCACGGGAAAAGAGTCAGAGCTAGCGCTCTCGACTCTTTTGCCCCGAGGTTTCGATTGGGCTCGTTGTAATGATGCGACGTGATACAACCATGCAGAAACAGCCGAGACAAAATTTGCTGACAGACAATCATCACAGGCCTACATGCTCAAGTACGACTCCACCCACGGCATCTTCAACGGCGACATCCAGCAGGATGGCAACGACCTTGTCATCAACGGCAAGAAGGTCAAGTTCTACACTGAGCGTGACCCCGCTGCCATCCCCTGGAAGGACACCGGCGCCGACTACGTCGTCGAGTCCACTGGTGTCTTCACCACCATCGACAAGGCGAAGGCCCATCTTCAGGGCGGTGCCAAGAAGGTCGTCATCTCTGCTCCCTCTGCCGATGCCCCCATGTACGTGATGGGTGTCAACGAGAAGACCTACGACGGCAGTGCCGACGTTATCTCCAACGCTTCTTGCACCACCAACTGCTTGGCTCCCCTCGCCAAGGTCATCAACGACAAGTTCACCATCATTGAGGGTCTCATGACCACCGTCCACTCCTACACTGCCACCCAGAAGACCGTCGACGGTCCCTCCGCCAAGGACTGGCGTGGTGGCCGCACCGCTGCTCAGAACATCATTCCCAGCAGCACTGGTGCCGCCAAGGCTGTCGGCAAGGTCATTCCTGAGCTCAACGGCAAGCTCACTGGCATGTCCATGCGTGTGCCTACCGCCAACGTCTCCGTCGTTGACTTGACTGCCCGCATCGAGAAGGGCGCCAGCTACGACCAGATCAAGGCCGCCATCAAGGAGGCTGCTGAGGGTCCCCTCAAGGGTAAGCTATTAATCTCAACCTCAGAATCACCGAAACACAAGCTAACTATCCCCAGGCGTCTTGGCCTACACTGAGGACGACGTCGTCTCCACCGACATGATCGGCAACCCCAACTCCTCCATCTTCGATGCCAAGGCCGGTATCTCCCTCAACGACAACTTCGTCAAGCTCGTCTCCTGGTACGACAACGAGTGGGGATACTCCCGCCGTGTCCTCGACCTCTTGGCCCACGTTGCCAAGGTTGACGCCTCCAAATAAATGTGCGGTACACATAAGGCTGTCGCGGAGGGAAAACAGGACCAATAGTGTCCACTAATGAGATGATAAACCAACGACCAAACAAAAGCAGTAAAATGAAGATGGGCAAGTCTTTCAGGAGGGAGGGCCGCAAAGGCCAGGGAGGATTATGGTTGTTTCTTTCCTACAAACAAACACTCCCAGAATATATGTCCGTATGACGTCTATGAAATAGATTATGCCTACCCATCACAGTCCATACCAATGCCAAGTGACCAGAGTGTAATTCGAAACTCGGATTCTTCAATCAGATCATGTCGTAAACAGGCGTGAACGATGCTGCTATGGGTCGTGTCAGATCACCTCTGAGGTCTAGCTATGCGAGCTACCTTATAGGTACGAGATGTGACAACCTGTTGAGTTGTGAGGGGTTGCCAGTGCGGGGTCGCTCCACGTCCGCGTCTGATAACTTGTTTCCCCCCTCCTCGCGTCGCCGCTTCCACCAAGGTCCTCAAAGAGGGTGTGCTTCTTACTGTCATGTCACAACATCGCAGAGCTCTTGTTTGAATTGGTATTGGTTCCTCTTTGAATTGACCTTTCGAATAAGGAATCCTCGACTGGGTACCACTACTACCTACCACTTTGCATTTGAGACGAGGCCGTCTCGCACTACCCTCCCCTTCCATCGTTACCGCGTAGTATATGCCGTGGGTTAAACCAAGCCTGTCTCTGCCTTTCCACAACATCAAGTCCAAGAGATACGCAAGGGGGGGGGGGGCGGCCGAGGGATATCTTCTTCTTTTATATGTACACACACACGCGCGCATACAGAGTCCGTAGACACATACAGAGTCCTGATCTGTCCCCCTTGAACGCCAAGCTAGAGAAGGAAATAGAAGAAAAAGGAAAGGCCGTCGAGTTGGACTTGATATCAGACAAAGTGAAAGAAAAAAGTGTGCGTGCTCGCTTGAAGAGACTCAGGGTGACTTGTGTTTTTTTTTTCATACATGATGGGCTGCCTCACCGCCCATACTCTCTCGACCAAAAACGCCATTCTCGCCACAACCCAGCTTCCGATCCCGTCATCCACCGAAAGGGGTTGGGGGTTAAAAAGGACAACAGTTGACTTGGTTCATAATACATGTCATTAGGAGGGCCCTAATGCCCGTATCCTTCTGTCTGTGGGTGTACCGAATCGCCCGCGACGTTCTCGTCACGCGGAGGCGACGAGCTCTCCGCCGTGGTAAAGGAGGAATCGACCAGAGTCGACGCCTCGCCCTCGTTGTCGACATCCTATGACAACGTTCCGTTGGCGGCTGATACCGTGACCTCGGCGCGCCACGAGACGCCCTCCTCATGCGCCCAGCGCCGCATAATCTTGAGAGCCGACGATACGGCTTCCTCCACACTCGTCCACGGGCCCATATTCGTACGCATCGACGAGGCTTCAACGCGCTCCGCCGAGTCGTATGCCGATTTCCATACATTTGATCGACCTCTTTCTGCGCCAATAATGTGTAATGCGTGCGTTGCCGGGTCGAGCGACCAGTAGCATTTGATGAGCTCCTCGTGGATCACGCCTTGCATCTGCCAAAACAGTGCCTCCAACGGCTTGCTCTTTCGTACATCGTTGCGCATGACGTTCAGAAGCGGTAGAATGCTGCTCCACTGCTTAGGATCTTGAGCCTTGTTTTCTATCCGCCTTGACTCGAACAACGCTCTGAAGCTGACCATGAACGCCATCGCCGTCTCCAGTCCGAGCATCATGCTGAGCTTGATGTCGGAGTCCGATACGGGAGCGCCGCGGTCCCCGTGTTTTCGCTCTAGCAATATGTCGCGCTCGTGCTTCAGCTTGGTGCCGAGTCTGCTGAATCGGTTCCAGCGGTCGCGGAGCGCCTGTACCCTGTGAGGATTCGCCGCTTCTCTGCTATCGTCTCTGGTCTGCGGCCGGTCTCGGTCTGATGATGGCGGCGCCGGGGTCAGACTGTGGCCATCTCCAGGGGTGTTGACCGAGTTGCTTGACGCTACCCTCGACATCGATGTAGCACCCCCTTTCGATGGTGTTGAGGGCGCGTTCAGCTTGGAGCTCGTGATTTCCGACGTCCGAGGTCGCTTCACCGCTATCGAATCACCAACATTCTCGGTGCTGGTAATCGGTCGTTTCCGTGCCTGCGGTGGCGGAGGCTCTATGCTCACTGACCGCTCCTTCTTGATGTCTTTCCTTGGGGGTCCCAGGGCTAACAGCCTCTGCACCGACTTGGTGTACTTTTTGCTATACTTCAGTGTCACCATAAACCTGCGAGGCTTTTCCTTCGGCTTTTCCTTCCCTTTGACCTCCTTTCGATCATCTTCCTCCTCCTTCACTACCACGTGCGGTCTCTTGCCGTTTGTGGGGGAATCGGGAGGTTGTGTTCTTTGGCTCGCGTCGGAGCCTTTCGTCGGTGTGTTCTTCATCCGGGCCAATTCCTCCTCGAGCAATGGGGGAAGTGTTGGAGAAAGTAGCTCCGGAAGCTTCAAGGGAGATTTCGGTCTCTTGATAGGCGGAGGTGGTTCTGCTCGTGAGGACTTCTGCGGCCGGTTGTGCTCAGGAGGATCGTCTCGTCTCTTCTCTTTCGATCGCGAATCGGATTCGTTCGGTAGGTGTAATGGAGATAGTAACGGCGGAACTGCTGACCTCGAAGACGCCGTATCAGCTCTTGCCCGACCGCTCGAAGAGGGGCTAGGTTTGTTGCCATTGATAGAGTCTCCTCGCGCACGGGAAATGGGAGACTTGTTCGCGCCTGAGCCAAAGGCTGTTTTTAAAGCAGACCGCCCGTTTGGTAATGAAGATGAGCTTGTGCCAAACTTCCCGTCCTTTTGCGGCGTCCTGTCTTGTGATGAGTGTATCTCTTTTCTTCTTGGCGTATCGTCTCGAGGTGTCCGCGATCGCTCGTCGAGCGGTGTGCTCGCTTCGGGTCTCGCTCGTTTCTGAGGTCGCAATTCGCCGTCCACATCCGCGATTCTTTTCCTCTTGTCTGGGGTATCATTGCTATCTTGTGCTGCCCGGGATCTTGCGTCGGGCCTGCTCGTTCTAGAATGGGTCAGTCAGCCTCTAGGCGTCTAGTACATTGGAAGA